GGTAACCACGGTAGGGTTGGACTCAATATCTTGGAGCTCTTTAACAACCTGGTTGATTCTATGATTCTGTGATCATTAGTGATGCTTTTAATGTTGACAGAACATGTCCAAATGCTTACTGAAAAGCTTAACTGTCTGTTTGTGTGCCATAGCTCCACTTCATAGAAAATCAGCAAATGACTCGAGAGTGGATGATGGTTCAGGGCTTAACACCCAACCAAGTACAGTGCACTCAGGGACCACAGCAAGTAGCTCCACTGCTGGACCTTCTGTTACCTTGGGGCTGAGTTCTCACACCAGACCCTTCTCCTCAAGCTCATTTTCATCACCTTCACTCTCACTGAGCAGGAGTGAGTCTGCAGCAAACCCTGCACAGACTGCATCGGAAAAGGCAACTGTAAAGTCAGAATATTCAATGACACCCAGGTCTGTTCAGACTCAGAATACAGCTGCTTTGAACAGGCATGGCTCCAAGATAGGTGAAATGCCCAGATTTAATGGAAAATCTAAAAACTTTGTACCCACTGACTCATCTTCAAAGCCTCCGAGCTGTAACTTGAATTCTGGCTCAAAATCTGTGACTGTGAGGCAGCCACTAAAACCACCTTCCAAGAGAATCGATATCTTTGAGCTTCCCAGGATACCAAAGATTAAAAAAGAAACTGGCAGTAAGCAGGTGGGGCCGGAACCCTCAGGAAGCCAAAGCTGTGACATCCCCAGCTCCTGTATAATCCAGCTGACTGGCAAGGAGAGCATGAATCAGCCGGGAAAGGGTAACAAAGTGGAAAATCAGAAGTCAAATGCCAAGGAACCTCAGCCACAGACGCGAACAAGTGGGGTGTCTTTTTCTAGCAACACTGGCACGTACAGCGGTTCATCACTCCTGGGCACTTCGAGGAGCAAAGGCCCAGGCTCATTTGAGAGTTTTAAAATCAATATCCCTGGAAATGCAGGACATCCCAGCAGGCTGTCTAACCCAGGGTTCTGTAACACCTTCCGCCCTGTGGATGAAGTGCAACAGAAAGAGAGTCCTTCACCTCTTTTCTCAGTTAAGAAAAAGCAGGTCAAAAGTGAAATATATGATCCCTTTGAGCCAACAGGATCAGACTCAAGTTCAGCAAATAGCAGTCCTGAAAGACTTGGCTCGGGGATCCCACTAACTAATATTACCAGGACTATTTCCATTGCAAATCCGAAAGTTCAGACGTTTCAGACTGTCCGTCGGTTCACTCCTTACAGGGTAGAAAATATATTTGGATCTGGGGCTGACTCTGACCTACCGTCTAGTAACTCAGAGTCTCGTGATGATGTGACGGTGGAAAGCAGGATCGTAGAACAGATTTCTGATACAGAGGAACGAGACAATAGAGATGAGGAAGACTTTCTAAGCAGTCCTTGCACTTCATCTGCTGTGAAGCAAATTTCTAGCGCAGAATGTTTAAAGGAGGAAAGCAGAGAGGGACCTAATGTGTTCTTTAATGCTGAGGAACTGATTAGACCTAATACTAATGTGAAACCAGAACCAGGTAGTCCCTCAAAGAGCGATGGGCAGCAGAAAGTCCAAAAGGTAGAACAAACAGAGAAGCGATCGCGTTCCAGATCCCGTTCGAACTCCAGCTCCCGGAGCAAGAAGAAGGTGAAGAGGAAAAAAGCACTTGTCAAAGAGCATAAGAGATCACGTTCAGGGTCTAGGGACAGAGCACAATCAAGGGACCGAAGCTCCAGATCTACCTCTTGGTCAGGTGGAGAAGAGCACAGCAAAACACACACGTTGAAATCCAAGAGCAGGAGGTCTTCCACTGACCGTTCTAGCAGTCACGAGAGATCCAAAAAAAAGAAAATGAAGGATAAAACCAAGGATAAAAAGGCAAAAACTTCCTGGTCTAGGGAGAAAAGGAAATCTAGGTCACGTTCAGGTAGTCCTGAAAGTACTTCTGAGTTTTATGAAAACAGGAAAAAGAAAAGGTCTCGTTCAAGATCAAGGCGGAGGGACCGTTCCCGGTCAAATAGCACTGAGAGGACTAAAAGGCGGAAGCACCGGAGAGACAAGAGCTATGAGAGGTATGATAAAGAGAGTAGCCTGAGGTCTAGGGACAGGAAAAGATCGAGATCCAGATCTCGGGAGAGGAGAAAGTGGAGATCTCGGTCTCGGTCTGGATCTCGATCTCGGGAGCACAAAGGCAGCAAATCAAAGGAAAAAAGACCACGGTCGCGATCATGGTCCAAAGAAAGGAAACACAGATCAAAAGAGACCTCACTTCCTCCTCCACCAGAAAAGGATCAAAAGCCTCCAGCTGAAAATGTGACCAAGTGTCTGGAGCAACCTCATTCTCTCAAACAAGAGCCAAAGGAGGAGCTAGTGCTAGAAGAGCTTTCCATAACCATCCAACCAAATGTCAAACTTGAGGAAACAGAGGCTGAGGCCCCAGTTCCACTGAGAGAGGTCCAAGAAACTATAAAAGTAGAGCCCACCTGTCAAGAAGTGACCAGTGAACCTTCATTCCCTATGCCAGAGATCACAAACGTCTGTGTTCCGATTGGTCACGTGGATTCGTTTGCTGAAGCAGAACTCATGAGTAGTACTGATCCAGCAGTGCTCAGTGGCTGTAGCAATACGAACCTTGAGATTACAGTGAAAATAGAAAACACTGCATTATGTCCATCTCTGACAGAACCACCCCCAAAGAAGGAGGTTATCATGCACGTTCCAGCTGAGGCTGCACCAATTCAAAGCTCATCCAGAAGCAAGGTTGTGGATTGTGTGAGGGAGGTTAAAGAGGAGTGCCTTGTGTCAAATGAGAAAATGAGTAATTTCTCTAAGCCTGAGCTGGAAGTGGTGCCTCAGGGTCCTGCCTTGAAATCAAAAGCACCGGTGAAAAGAGTTACATGGAATCTTCAAGAGGAAGAAAGTGGCACCTTGTCTGCTGGAAAAGCTCCAAGTAAGTCTTTTTTGGAAAACAAACAGCAGTTGAAGCAGGCTGTACAATGCTTAGGGTTTTGGTGCCTGACTAAACCTGGTTGTAGTGTAACAGCTCTGTCATCTGAGCTGAGGAGACCCTGTGTTTTCCAGCCCTGAGAGGTGGCACTTTGTGCCTGTTGAAATCATGAGGTGAGTTGTGTTAATGAATCGGAGAGGACGTGCTGTCAGCACAGCTCAGTTAGCCAGTGGCAGCTTGTTCAGCTGTGCAGTGTGTATTGCCACCCTGTCTCTGAACTGGCAGCTCATGTCCCACCCATGCTGCAGTTAACTGGAGTGGTTGTTCTGCCTTCAAGTTGTATAAATATTCTTGGAAACCAAGGAACGTGACAAATCTCTGTAGCTCACTCCTGTAGGCACTGCTTAACCAAAGCTGCTATAAACAGTTTGGCTTGGGACCCTGTGCGATGTGTGTTGGCAGAGTTGCCTGTGTGGCTTGTGTTGGTTACTCTCATGGAAACCCATCAAAAGAAATTGCTCAAGGGGATGAGAAGTTGTCTATTATCAGAAGCTTTAAAATGTTGGTGACTACTAAACAAAATCCTTTTATAGATAATTTTGTGGTTACGTCTTTTTAATTTTTAGAACGTATTTGGTTTTGAATCTTTGGCACGTTATGTTTATTTTGTTCTGAAATGTTTTCTTTTCCTTCTCCTGGGGAACCTAGGGATGCCATTCTACAAGCTCCAGCGAGCAAAAGAAGAGGCCTGGAAAGCAGAGGACTTGAACCAAACGTTAAATCAGGTGCAGTTAAATGAGCCTCCTCCAACCAATTATATGATTCCTGAGCCTATGTTTCCTGATCTAGGTTCCTTTCAGGTTGGTTCCTGTTCCAGCACCCAAGTGTCATGGAAGGCATCCCACCTCATCTGTGCCCTGGTTGTGCACCACTCGTGTCTCATGGCAGAGTTTGCCTTCCTCTGCGTGTGGTGCATTTCATATAGCCCATGCACCTCAGAACTCCTCCAGTCATTTAACCTCTCAGATGGTCCTGACATCCAAAGAAGTGTATTTTCATTCTGGTCTATACATGCAGCTTCTGCTTTCAGCAGTGGCCTGCAGACAGATGGTGCTGTTTGAGCAGCTGTGAGCTTCTCCCCAACTCTGCTCAGGCTGTAAATATTGGCTTGGTAGCCTTGGTGCAAACCATCAGCGTGTGCTGTGCACCAGTCAAAAGGCAAGAGGGGCTGCTGCTATCTCCCGGTGGATTGAGAGGTGCTTTGAAAATCCTGATCTCATGTTCTGTCTGGTAAGCACAAGCACTCACAGAGTGGTATCTGTTTCACAGGTGTACTGTCAAAACCTGCCTTTGGCGCCACCCGTGCCCTCCAGCCTGCCCCCCTACGCCCCTGTCAGCCAGCCCACAGTGCCGTTCATCATGCAGGGCAGCCTCCCAGCCCTGGGCTGCGTGGTGGGGCAGAGCCTGACGCCGGAGCCAGGCAGCCTGGCCACTGCCTCCGAGCCCGGAATCCAGGCTGCGTCGGTCGGGAATGAAGACGAAAAGATCAAAGCACCCAAACCTCCAGTGGATAAAACAAAAAACGAGGAAGTGAGTGAATGCCACCAAGTAGTATATGCATGATATGAATGAGCTGACTGCTAACCCAGGAGCAGCAGGCAATCCTTTCTTTGCATTCTCTTGGGATTTATTCCATTGGAAGGTTCTACTGGCTGGAGAGCAGCCAGGCAGAAAGGGACCTGGGAGTTTGGATAGACAGGAGGCTGAACATGAGCCAGCAGTGTGCTCAGGTGGCCAAGAAGGCCAATGGCATCCTGGCCTGGATCAGGAACAGCATGGTCTCTTCTCCCAGGCAAATAGCAGGAGGACAAAAGGGCACAGACTCAAGCTCTGCCAAGGGAGGTTGAGGCTAGATATTAGGAAGAGATTTTTTTTACCGAGGGTGATTAGGCATTGGAATGTGCTGCCCAGGGAGGTGGTGGATTCACCATTCCTGGAGGTTTTGAAGCTGAGACTGGATGTGGCACTTAGTGCCGTGGTCTGGTAACCACAGTAGGGTTGGACTCAATGATCTTTGCAGTCTCTTCCAGCCCAGTTGATTCTATGATAGTTTCTACTGTTTCATCCCAAATAAGTCAGTGAGGGATTCAAACATCTAAAATACATTCTTAAAGTTCTGAAACATTTGTTGCATGAATGTTCAGAAGGGATTTTCCAAAAACCAGAATGTCCAAGTTTCTCTAAGCAGGTGGTGTTCTCCTCTCCCCTGCAGCTGCCTGGAGGGGAAAAGAGAATCAAAGTGCATGTCAATTCTCATAGCAGTCCTGTAGAGAGGTGGAACTGTATCTCGTTGCTTATCAGCACGTAAAATACTTTGGAGATTTTGCAGTGCTAGTCTCTTGCTGCAGAGCCTTCAATTTGCTATATGGACCATCTGCTCTGAGCATGGTGGATGCTAACACAAGGACAAAAACTTCTTAGCCAATTATTTTACTTCCTGCCACAAAACCAAGTGGTAAGATACTTTCCTCACTGATCCTCCATTTACGAGCAGCAGTGTTTCTAAATGTGTTTTGATAGAATATGTTCTGATATCACCTGTAATCATTAATTTATAGGCAGCTCTGCCGTTTTCAGGTTGCCTTTAGAGCTGTCTGAAGCTTTATGCTCACAGTTATGATTTGCTGCTTTTAGAATCCTTTTAGTGGATCTGTGTTTACCTGAGAGCTGTTGGAAGGGAAGGTGACTAAAATTACTAAGTGGACATTGTAGTCACTTGCTTAAAACACATTCTGTAAGACACAGAATAAATCTTGCATAAAGTGAAGGTTCCTCAGAGCACAAACTGGTATTTGTTTCAAGACTGCAACTGGGAAAGGAAATCGCTTTGAGGTGATTACTTGAGTTGCTGAAATTGTGAAATGAGAGTTTTCATGGTCAGAGCACTTCTAAGAAGTATATTCAGAAACCATTCCCAAGATGGAACAAAGTAACAAACTTCTCTTTCCTGTGCAGTACATGAAGAAGCTTCACATGCAAGAAAGGGCTGTAGAAGAAGTGAAACTTGCCATCAAACCGTTCTACCAAAAGAGGGAGATTACAAAGGAGGAATACAAGAACATCCTTCGAAAAGCAGTGCAAAAGGTAAGGGCACAGTGAGAAGTGGAGAGGAGGAGCTGGGCAGGTGATTAAGTGGCAGTACTTTGGGTTGCACGGGGCAGTTTCGGCAATTACATGCCATGACAGAGTGGCAGAACTTTGGACCCTGATTCATACTCTGCAGTCCTGTGGTGGAGCAGTGCTTGCTTTAAGCAGGACTGATGGGTGCCATTGATGAGAGCTGTCAGTCTGTGCCTTTTAGAAGATCATGTTTTCAGTGGGCCAGAACATTGCTAAACTCCAGCTGCTTGAGCAGAGTATATTACCTGGTATGTGCCTTGGGTGAGAATGGTCAAATCCCTCTCACTAAGAACTTCAGCCAGACTTGTCAGCTGTTTCTGATGAAGTGAGAAAGTACTTTGTGCATTAGTTCCTTGGGCATCTGTGGTGTCCCTGAACCTTGGAAGATGGCCTTGCAGTTTTGCTGATGTTAACTTTTGTCTCAAATCTTAGTGCTAACCAGATCGTGGCTAAAAAAGACCTGATCAGCAGGTAAATGTTGTCTAGTGAGGGGAAGTAATGCTCTTGTGGTCAAGGCAGTTAGTTTAAACCTTGGAGAATTGTATTCTCTCCCTCCTCTGCATTCTTGCTATCGCTGGAAACTTCCATCATACACAAAAATTCCTGAGATAACAGCTGCAATTTCACATCTTCCATGTGACCCTATGAACCTCAGGTGTGGTTTGTAGGAGAGCTGTGCAACTCCAATTGCTGCTGAAGTCACTGTCACCTCCTCTCTGAACACTGATAAAATTCTTTGTAAGGACTGTTCTTTCCCCTGTATCTCAAAATGGGCCATTAAAACTGCCAAGTTCTTTGAATCTGAGCATTACTTTCTCAAACTCATCAGCAAAATGGGATATCAGCACTGCCTTAGTTACCACATACTGTGTAAAAGTGGATGGATGGGTGGAAAAAACTTGTAAAAATGAATAATTCTGCTTTCAGAGATGCCTCTACATCCAGTTGATGCTTAGTGGGTAAGCTCTGCACCAGATCTGGAGTGCTTGAGGTCAAATACTACTCTTAGCTTTGTTTTTTGCTTTATGTATCCTGTTATGAGACTTGAGGGCCTGTGCAGCAATCAGTTCCCCTGGGTAGCTTTAGGGCTTCTCTGTCCCTGGTCTGTGCCTGCCTGAACTGCTGTAATTGACCAGATGCTGTTTCTGATCCTCTGCAGATCTGCCACAGCAAAAGTGGAGAGATCAACCCCATGAAGGTGGCAAATCTGGTGAAGGCGTACGTGGAGAAATACAAACATATGAGGAAACATAAGAAAACTGATGGTGAAGATACACGTGAGGTGGAAAACTGAGAGCAAGCCCCAGCCAGCATGACTTGGACTGAACTGGTCCTAGCTGTGGACACCATAGGAGTAACAGACCTGCAGTTGCATCTCTTTGTAAACAAAGTGCAGAGAAACAAGATGATTATAATAGGATTTGTCTGCGGAACCTTCTCTTGAATCATTTCCATATGGGAATGAACTTAGGAATTATTTTTTTTTTGATGACCTACAGATGTAGAACTAAATAACAATCAAATGCCTCAGACCAGCAGAGTAATTCGAGGGGAAACACAGAAGAGATTCATGTTTGGGACTCCTGGATTGCTGCAGTTTTCAGGGTTACTTTGATCACATTTTTTGGGCTGTGTGCTTGTCTTGCTAAGGTTGGATACTGGACACCACTTTTCATACAGTACCTTGAGAGCTGTATATTGGTTCCCTTGTGTTTATTTATGGAAACATGGATCGTCTTTAGAAATTTCTGATTTAATACTTGAAAAGTTGTATTTTTAGCCCATTCGATGGTCAAGCGTTTGGGGATTGCAGGCGTGAGCTAACCTTTATAAACTGACTTAGAAACACAGCTCAGGCCGTGGTGTTTATTTACATGCTGTTGGCAGTATCCCGTTAGCAGAAAAAAGAGTCGTTTTGGGGTGGGAGATTGTGTTGCACTTGTGTAAATACTGCACTGATGGTTGGGTTTGTGTCTGCCTTTCCGGAGGGAGCGAAACGAAAAGCGAGCGTTGTGAATTTTCGGCCGCAAGCCAGAGGGATAAGGCTGAACTGATGTACAAAGCAGAAATGTGACAGAGTTTATAAAGTTATTTTGAATGGTTTTAGTCCTATAGCAGGTGTCATTTGTTTGTCTTGGATCTGCCTCTTGCCCTGGCTGTTCTGTGTAAACCTGCTCGCTTGGCTCCTGGGTAAGGAATACTGTGTTTCTCGAAGAGGATGGGAGTTGGAGTAGTAATTGTTCCTCCTCCTTTGCAGGAGGACTGGTTTTCCTATCAACAGTCAAAGTAGTCCAGCACACACACTGACTTCATCTTGCTTTCTTTGAAAACACTCCTTGCTCCCATGTACCAGCAGGTCTTTTGAGTGACCATCTGAAATACTGTCACTTACAAATACAAACAGCCCCCTTGAACCTGACTTGAATCATTCCCCGTTTAACCATGTAAGGGAGGAGATGTTTCTCAGGGAAGCTGAACAGAAAACCACTAAAGTTGCATCTCAGAAACTGGTTTTCCCTTCACAGGAACTGAATGTACATGGCCTGTTGGGCCTCATGGCAGCATCACTTCTTATGTGAGGGCTTTCCTAATCACTTGGAAACTGCCCTCTGAGGACAGTTGTGCTGCTTGGCTTCAGAGAGAAAACACTTGGGCTCTCTGGGGTAAGTTTTATAAAGCAAATAACTGCAGCTCTTTTCCTGCTCCAGTGAGTGTAGCAAGACCTCTGGTCCCTTGTTGATGTTCCTAACTTTTCCGTTACTGATTTCCATAGTAAGATTTTTTTTCTACATACTGTAATTTCATCTGTGGTTCCAAATAGCTGTTTTGGGGAGTTTGTTATTTAAACAAAACAAGCCTGTATACCAGTACTGCCTGGACTGGGACAGTGCTTCACTCCCATCGTTCACTATCCTAGAGCAGTGTTTATGGGTGAGCCCTGAGCATTTTGGAGTTAATCTTCCTGGGCTCTGCATGCTTCCTGGATGGAAGTACAGCCTGGATAAGGCTGTATAGGTATAAGGAAGTGATAAGTTTGGAGTTTCTGTGCAGTTTTTTGGAAAAGGTTCAGTACTTACTGCTGAGGAGCAGCTGGAAGAGAAGCTGTAGTTTTTGACCCTGTAGCTAGAACACGTACCTGTCAGGTGGGTGTGGGGTTGTACATACAAACACTGCTGATAGATTTCTTGGTAAAATAAAAGTTCAGAAACAGTTGGCACAAGAATGAGAGGATATGATCTAACTGTGCATACCCTTAGGCTGGAAATGAGACACCTTCAAATGTGTCAGAGGAACAATTCAGGATTAACCTGTCTGCATGAGTGAAAAAGGATAGGTGGTGTGAAAAATAAGGCTTGGCCAGATACCAGAAGCAACTACACCGTTTACCAGGAAGACAAACGAGAGTCTGTTTCGTTTCTCAGGCTGTTTCACTGCTTTAGATTCATGTTCAATGTTAGCTTTGAAGTGGCAGTGAAGGGAACAGCTGCTGCATGGTGTGTTAGGAGTGCATGTGCTGGAAGGCCTGTGAAATTTGTTACCCCTACCACTGCCTGGAGGAGCACTGAAGCTGAAAACTATACCTTCTGCATGTGCTTTCCCCTGAAGTTACCTGAGCAAGAATACTGGTTCTTTCATTCTGTCTGCCATGAAAAATAAACCTATCAAACTGTAAGCTGCCCTGTGCAAGAGGCAGTGAGACCCATACCACAAAATGCCTCTTCTGGCATGTTCTAGAAAACAGTTTTTCTAGTATACTGTGTACACTATTTGCCTTTTCCCCCCTTCCTTTTTTTTCCCTCTTTTCTGGTTGACCCTCTTGGATCAGATGCTGCCACATGTTTAAGGGAAGAAATATTATTTATTCAACATGTACAACAGTGATAAAGCCAAAAGGTCTTTTAGCAAAGGCAGGCAGGGGTGCTGCACTAAGAACTTGACTCAGGGGTTACTCTGCCACGGTGTTTGCCTCAATGTAGACCTCTAGAATTGTTTTTGGGACACAGCCCTGGCACTGCTGTCTGGCCAGAGGTGGTGGTGAGGTTGGATGGGGGAGGAGGGTGGGGTTCCCAGCAGGGCTCGGGAGGCGGGGAGTGAGAGGAGGAAACGAAACAGGGAGCTGAGCACCCGGAGGATCCAGCTGGTGCCACGCAGCAGGGCCATGGCCCAGCCCAGTGCCTGTGAGTAGCTGCCCTAGCTCTTCACTGCTCTGGTTCAGAGTGGTGGTGGGAATCCTTCAGCTTGTCCCTGGTGGAGAGACCATGTGTTTCGGGAGAGGGTGGATGTTGGCTTTCCTGCTGGGTTTGTAGCATGTCCTGGTTTAGGTGGTGATGCTGAGAAACGATGATGAGTCAGTCCTCTCGAGTGTGTTGCACAAGGAGATGTCATGTTTGTTATCATGGGGTGAGGAAGTGAAAGCAAAGCTACCCACGTTTTGTGCTGGTATGGTGTGATCCTGCATCCCACTGGTGCTCTCCTGGCCTGCAAATCTCCCTGCTCCAGACGCCCTCCATCTGGCAATGTTCTCAGCCATCACTGAGTCCCTCCCTGCCCATGTGCCCTATCCTTTGGGGAGCCTTATTGTCCCTGCATTATTCCCCAGTCTTCTGGGGCTGGGAGCATCTCTGCCGGGAATCGCAGCGCTAGGGAGGATGTGAGAGAGGAAGTGTCTGAACTCACTAGCCCTGGCCTCAACATGTCTCCCTAGCTGTGGCCAGGCTGAAAGAGTTATGTGGAGAGCAGCTGTGCTCCTCACATTGGTTCTACCCTACCAGCCTGTGGCTGGGATTAGAAAACTACTGGTTTGGGGGTAGATGCAGCTGTGGCCGGAGCTCTTGCAGGGCTTAAAGCATGAGAACAAATCTGTTTATGTGGTGTTTGGGCTACAGGTCAACGTCTGGTGGGAACTGTTTCTTCCTGTGTCTCCTGCCCCAGCTAAGATCCTTATACGTTGGCTTCAGTTCCTCTTGAGAGGGCACTGGAGCTGTTCAAGCAGCAACTGTGTTTACACTACTCAAACAGCTCCTCTGTCTTTTCTTGATGGCCAAAATAATCCCAAAGTTATGCAGAGCTCAAGGGGAAAACTAGTCTGCAACCCAAAGGGTCAAAGGGTCAAGTTCTCTCATAACCACCTTCCCTGTCCCATGTGTCCAGGTGAGGAGCAGGAGGACAGGTTACATGAACTGACTCTCTCTACCCAGAGGCTGCGTGTGCTGCCTCCAGCAGTCCTGGACAACCCCATGCTGGAGAGCCTTGACCTCGACAGGAACAAGCTCAGGAACATCACCGGCATTTCTAAGCTTTGCAACCTGAAGAAACTGATACTGTCCAAGAATGAGATTGTGGACTTTCCCAATGAGATCCAGAGCCTGGTCTGTTTAGAGAAGCTTGAGCTGAATCAGAACCAAATCCGGGTCATCCCAGAGGGGGTTTTCTCCCATCTCCCCAGGCTTAAACACTTGAGGCTGAACAACAACCGTCTCTCTGCCCTCCCCAGGGACCTGGCAGCTTGTCAAGGTAGCCTCCAGTACCTCAACATCTCCAACAACCTGTTCCGGACCTTCCCGCAGCCTGTCCTGCAGTTGGCACACTTACAGGAGCTCCACGTGCAGAATAATGCTCTCCGCCAGCTCCCCAAGGAGCTCTTCCAGGGGCAATCCCTGAAAATGTTCAAGGCCAATGGGACCCCCCTGCGGGAGCCACCCAGTGAAGTGTGCGCTGGTGGCGTCCAGCAGATACGGAACTACTTCAGCCAGCTTCAACATCGGGCAGGGCAGGAGGACAAGAGGATCAAGACCATGTTCCTGGGGGCCTCACTGGCAGGGAAGTCCACCATCTGCAAAAGCCTGAAGCAAGGGCAATCCAAACTGGTGCCCAAGGAAGAGCGAACAGTTGGGATAGAAATCAGTGAGTTCCAGATCGAGGACTTCACATTTCTTTTCTGGGATTTTGCTGGACAGCTGGAGTACTACATGACTCACCACGTGTTCATCACCCCACAGGCTCTTGTCATCCTCGTCATCAATCTTCACATGTGAGTGCTGAGCTGGTTTGGATTCCGAGTGGAGTGGGGGAATTAAAAAGGAGCTGGGGAAGCTTTCCACTGCAGGAGTTCACACTGTTTCCATTGAACCTTGAGGCCTGGTCTTCACACTACCTCTTCCCCATTTTGCAGATCAATCTCTTAATTAAGCCACTTGATCTGTCATCACCTTGCCAAAGGCCTCTGTTTGGAGGGTTTGAATAAGCACTGGCACAAGTGAACCCTGTCTAAATGGATTTTCTTTCCGCTTTGGAAATACCTCTGCGATCCTTCCTGTATCTTGTGG